GACTTTCTCCAAGTCCAATACAGCATTAGTGAGTTGGGGTAGCCAGAACAAGACACACTATTCTCCATCTTTAGACACCAAAGAGTAATTCAAAAGAAAAGTTTTCTAATGTTTTCTTGGTAGTGGCAAATGCACACACACACACACAGCAAAAAATTGAGCTGACAGCCAAAGGCTTTCATTTCATAAAAAGAATTTGGATTATTGCAGCTTAACATAAGGCCTTGCCCTTATTCTCACGCAGCAGTTTCCAGTGATCCTCTCAGAGACTGACTCCCCTTTGTAAGCCGCCCTGCCTACTGTTGCAGTTGGTTGTGCATGTTTCCTGGCTCCCTGCCACCCACCATCAAGCACTTTCTCTTTCATGTTCAGATTGTCCTAGTCAGGCCTAAAGATACATACTGTTTTACATTTTAGCTACAGCAGAACCATTTATGAACAGCTTTTGTTTCTAGACAGTCTATGGAAGGAAAAGGAAACAGCTCTATTATACCCTCCCCTCCCCCCCCATACATCCCATGGGACAGCATTTTATATATATGTCACCTGCCTTTTTCTCTCTCCATATATATCTCTCCCAAGGGATCTTGGCAAAACTTCTCTGAAAGGTGAGTGAGACTATATTGCCCAAGTGCCAGTTTACTCACTTAAAGTTCCAATAAAATGACTAAGTCATTTTTTTCCTCTTGTAGAAATCATGTTATCTAGTTTCTAGTGGTTTTTTTTTTCTTTTAACACATTAACTGGACAAGTTTATGAAATGCTAACAAGACAGTAACATGAGCTGCCTCACTGGAAAAAATTGAATTTTATGTACCATGTAAACCCTGAAAAAAGGGTTCGGTGATACTCAGAAAGATAATGCTTTTTCTGGGTAGTGAATTTTCAGGTGAGTTGTTTCTTTTGTGCATTTCCATATTTTCTTAATTTTCAGCAAAAAAACCATGTATTTTTCAGTCTAGGGAGGGAAAATGTTATTTTAAAAAGGAAATGTGGATACTCCCAGATGGCAGTGCCCTCTGGAGTCACAGATAACATCCTGAGGTGGAGCAGCTGCACGTGTGTTTTGACAAACGTTATCAAGCAGCACCAGGATAGTCATGGGAGCTTAGGGAGAAGCAGGACACATTTTTGTTGTTTTCTGCCCTGATTTTTTGCACACAGTGAATGGGGAGAGATGACTCACATGCTCTACCAATACATATCTGGAGTCTAACCTGCAAAGTACAGAGCTTCTCCTAAAGCTTAACATCTCAGTGCCCAGGATTCTGTGCCTATAAAAGGAGACCAAAACATTCAGGAGGTTTAGGCTGGGAGGGGGCCTGACACCAAGGGAACACTGGGTAACACTACCCTCTGTGACTGTTGTCAGATCTGCAAAGTCAAGTCAATGGGGAATACTCATGCCAGGAGATGCTCATCTTTTCAACAGACAAAGGCGGGGGGGGGGCGGGGCCACATATGGTCTCTAGAACACTGTGGCTCCATTACAGTTTCAACTTTCTAAACCATCATTGACTGTGACATCCTTCCTTTGGGTGTGTTTTTGAAGCTCTATTTTCAAGCAGAACATTTCTTCTCCTCCAGAGATGAATGTCCACAGGTTTGGGCCGTTGTTTTCCTAGATTCCTGATAAATCCACGAGAGGAAGACTGGCTTACATAGGCTACTCAATTTTTGTTCTGTTCTACTTGAGTTAATTATAACTCTTTCCTTAAGTGGCTCATCAAAAATAAATGCAATGTTAAATGCAGACTCTAGGGACCAGCAGAGAGATTAAACACTCGGCTGTTATGAGCCTGCTAAGGAAGCCTTCCAAGAAGTTCCTCAGGGAAAGGTAACTTGGATCTGATTCCCTCCTCTACCTACCCCCCAGCCCTCATCAAGCACAACCAATGGAAACTTTTCTATCCTTTTTGTTGGGGAGAGAATATTACTGGTTATGGAGATATATCACTGGTATTGAAACACAATGTCGTTGTGAGATTTTCTGAGAGAGTTTCAGAAAAGACTCTCTGGGGCAGTTTAGTAGTCCTATAGATGCAAAAACTTATTTTCAATTTCACTGAGTTTGGAAAAATAACCAAAATGTTCTATTTAGAAATTCTAGTATTTCATGTCTTAGCCTATCAAGTAAAAATAATGTGTTCATCAAGATGGAAAGATCAGAACAAATAGAAAGTATGCTTAGTTCTACTGACACAGTTACATTTTCATTCACATTTAATATACTTCGTTTCAAAAAAGCTTCATGCAGCCTCAGTAAGTAACACAGCAGAAGAGACTCCAAGAAGGAGAATGGTTCTAGGCAAAGAGAGCAACCTGGGGCTCTGAGCTGTTGAGCCTTAATTATCTGGGAATAAGCAACACCCATGAACTGACACAGAGAGAAATGACTGACGGCAGCCTGGCATTTGCTAAATGTGGGTCCAGAGCTCACTCTGCCGCCCATTCGTGTTCACTTGAGTAATGGGATAGCCCTCTGAGAGTCTCAGTTTCTGCACCTGTAAAATCCTAATACAAGCCAACACTGCCTTTTCCTAACCCCCAGAGTCAGTATGAATGGACCCAAGCTGAATGGACTGAGGTCTCAGCTCCATCTTGCCCTTCACTCTAACCTTCTCCTGAGGCATCCCCCAAGTGGCCAACCTCCCATTGTCTCTCTTTTCTTCTTCCCTTTCCAAGAAACTTCCAGTGCAGAGAACTTAACCAATGAGGGGCCTGTGCAATCCTGTGTCTGCTTTGGCTTAGGTCTGTGAGATGCTGCATTAACTCCCTGGAGAAGGGCACTTAGAGCTCCAGAATATGCTCCTTTTAAAATTCCTTCAGACTCCATTTCTTTTTCTGGTTTATTTCTTTGGCCCACCTCTTCTAGTTACAAAGTTGCTATGATTTCTTTCTGAGTTCTTCCCAAGATGGTAAGATCATCTCTCCTTACCCTGATAATTCTTCCACTCCAAAATAAGCTCTTTGTTTTACTATTTCAACCTCCCTGACTGAAAACAAGGGATTTATTTTTGTCCAAATAAAGATCGAGGATTTTGGAACTGCTCGCGACACAGTAAGATCTCACTAGGAAGCTGTTGTCATCATAAATCTCGCCTCTGTCTCTCCATCCCTCTTCTGCGCTGCAGTCTCTCTATATCTAACTGCATCACTATCTGTCTATCCTCTTCCCCACTTGAGCCTCAAGGCCCAGACTAGTGTCTGGCACAAAAGACTAATACCCACAGGTAACGTAGCAACCATGCTATGTTTTCCTGTTAGAATTCTTTTCCTAGTAGAGACCTTTCGTTCATTCTCCAAGACCAGGTTTACTTATTACTTCCTCTGGGAAATCTTGCTTGAATTCTCTGGGTCTTCTGAGTTTTTCCTCTCCAGTCTCCCAGATCCCTTAATTGGGCACTAAGTATGTTGCAGTTGTTTGTACATGTGTGTTCCTGGCTCGACTATGAACTTCTAGGGACCAGATACTGTCCTCATCATCTTTATAACCCTGTGCTTACCGGAGGTCAGGACACAGTGTCTAGACAACAGAAATTCTGTATTCATCTTTATGATGTTGGTAACCCCCTGGAAGAATGATCCGACCTCAGTGAGGCTGAACTGGACAGAGTCAGGTATCTATGGCAAATGGGAAGTTAGGTGGGATGCTGCTGGAGGGCTAGGATGCCTGGCCTGAGGGCACTGCATTTCCTAAGTAACTAACACTTCGTCTAATTTAGTAGAAAGTACCCTGGCCTTGGAGCAGAAGAGGGAAAGAAGCTTACACAAAAAGATCAGTATTCACAGGTAAATCATTAACTTTTGACGAACATCAAAAAAATCTTCATGTTTTTCAACGGTGTTCTTTCAGCAGCTGGCTTGGGTGATGGTCCTGCCATGGGCTGGCTGCACTGGCAGCAGAGAGGCAGAAAGGGGCTCCTCTCTACCCATCATGCAGTTCCCCTGGCAAAGACACAGGCCCAAGGAACTCACTAGAAAGATGCTGATGATCCTACAAAGCTGGGATCCTTGAGGTCAAAGTGGTTCAGGGCATTATGTGATTAACGGGGAATGGGTAACTTTACTTCTAGAGCTGGCTTCTCACAGGTATGCTTTGTTCTTCAGGAACGTGACCTATTTCTTCCTTTACATTTCAACTTAATTAAATCAACCACTATAGAGTCCTTACCAGGGTGGTTATACTGTGAGAAATTTAAAGATGAAAAAGACAGCCCTAAAGGAAAACTGGCAAGATTAAAATATAATAGGCACCCTAGGATAAACGTTTTATATCATGCTATATAGAGAAATTGAATTCAAAGAATACATGGAATACGTCCTGTGAGGAAGGGTCTGTGCTAAATATTGGAGTCTAGAGGTGAAGACAACTGTAGTCCTCCAAGAGACTGCTCTCCAGAAGAAAGTACTTTCCTAGAGCAAGTCCTCACACAAAGTGGGGTAATGACACATTCCCCCAACTCCATCATCCCTCATAGGTCCCTAAGATGCTCCAGGAAAAGTGGTAGGGCCTGACCCAGGGTGTGCCCCTGGAACTGCCAGTGCCAACTCTAGTGAGGTGGAGTTCCTGAGTTGGAAAATTCTTCCAGCAAAGGTGGCCCTGCCCCCTTCCAGGAGAAGAAAGGTTCTAGCTCCTTCCATACTCTACGGGGAAGAGGTGCTTGGAGAACTAAGTCTGGATGAATTGGACTGGAAAATCCCTAAATGGAAGGGGTTGGGAAAGCCGAGTGTGGAGGGAGAGTACAGTGTGCACCTAGATCGTGGGAGCTGGAAAGCCCTAGGGTAGATGGAATGGAGTGTACCCAGGAACTTAAGATGAAGGGAGCTGGGAGTACCTGGATGGAGAAGACTAAATGGGCTGGGATAGAAGGGCTGGACCCATCAGGATGGGTGGGACCTGGAGACCCGGCCTCTGGAAAAGTGGTGCTTGGTGTGGGACCCTGTACCCCTTGGCTGTAGACGAACAACCAAGCGTCCACCCTCTGCCAGCCACCCACCTGGGCACGCTCTGGCGTAGTCGAAGCAGCAGTCCCCAATGAGGCGGCAGGCTTGGTCGCAGAAGCATGTCCCGTAGACCCTGTCTAGCCTCCAGCCTTGGGCGAAGCAGGAGGGGTCCCTGCCGGGGCAGCAGCGCCCCGCCTCCGTGCAGCCGGCCAGGGCCGGGGCCACAACCCCGTCAGCGCGCACAGCGCCAGCCACAGGGTCCTCATGGCCAGCACTCCGGCGGCGCCCGCGGCCGCACAGACCTTCGCGGCGAGTGCTGCGCTCCTCGCACAGCGGCGGCCCGGAGCAGCCCGAGTGGCCCGCGAGGCGCAGCCCTGCCCGGCCCTGCCCGGCCCTGCCCCGCGCCCGGCCCCCGCCCCCGAGCCCGCCCCTCCCCATCCCTGGCCGCGCGCCGGTCCCGGCGCGGGGAGGGTGCAGCGCCCGCGGCTACCCGGGGAAGCTGACGCCGCTCCGAGGGGGCGTCCCGCAATCAGCTCTCGGGACACCAGCCCTCTCCTGGCTGCGACCCCGCGAGCGCCCTCCCGGCCCCGCGGCCCAGAAGAGTCCTGGCTCCCCAGCAGCCCGGCCTGGGTGGCCACATTCCCTGGCCTCCTAAGGTCTGGGCGCGCGTTAGCTAGTGGGCATTTTTTTCTAGAAAGCCGGGCGACGAATAGCACTTGCTGCGCAGCAAATAATCTCAGCAGCACAATGAGAGGGATCACCCTGACTTCCCTCCCGCCAGGAAAGCCCAGTCTGCCTTTTTTTTTTCCGGGGCAGGCCCCCCAACCTCCAAAACACACCCAACACCAAACCACCACCACGCCCCCAATACACACACACCTGCCTCCCACTCCCCCCCCTCCCCCAGCGAGGAGGCAAGAAGAAAGAAGTATCTTTCTGCAGCGTTTTACAAGGGACGTTTCTGCTCCAGGAACATGCCATTTTGCTACAGTGAAGAGGCATTTGATGAATGTGAAGGAAAGGATCAATAAAATATAAATGATTTTCTGCTTTCTATTAAGATTTCCCAAAAGAAGTGTTGCTTAGTGATATTTTAGATATAACTTCCACTTCAATTAAGTGCTGCCTATCCGTTATGTATTTCTTTCTCCCTTTCTCTCCAAATATATTTTCTGCACCTTACTCTATTTATTAACCAAAAATTATCCGGGAAGTCTAATTACATTTTATGTTCTTACGTTGTACTTTTAACTATTACGGGTTTTGTGAGAAATTTGGATTTTCAAGTTTTCTCATAAATACTTCTCGCGGCTTTTCTTTACTCTTTAGAGAAAACTAACAAGTTAAAAAAAAAACTTAACAAAGTAGTAAAACAATAAAATAATCAAGCAAAAAAGA